GATGGTCTCCATTGTGGCTGTTTGGTTTGGTTGGTTGAGTTGGTTGAGTTGGTTGAGGTTGGTTGTTGATGAAGATTGAAGGTTATGTGAAGAGTTGATTGTGTTGTGTGATGATGAAGGAAAAGAGAGACTGATGGAAAGCGAGGGGTCGATGGCCTTTAAGTAGTTGATTTCGAAGACGGGACTAAGGGAAGTTACTGGGGCGCTTGCTCACTCCAGATGTCACCAAGACTCCCATCATGTGAATCAGCCTTGGGAGGCACCTACGTCATGTAACCCTCCGGTTGCAGGGAGAGCTCTACATGCTACGCAGTAGGCAGGAGCACTAGCTTCCTCTGTACCTACCTATGCCCACCTAGGTAGATAGGCACCGGGATCTGGGCCTTATTCTGCAGACAATCTGGCCAGAACGTTTTCCAAGATCCATTTCGAGAGCAAGGCTCCACCAGCATCCAACGAAGCATCAGGATGATGTGCGGTCCTTGACGTAGGAAGACGTGCTTGCTTCCGAGCAAGGAACCAGCGGTGGACACTGGAGGATCATAGCCCGGCAGGACAACCCCCAAGCTACAGTCTACCCCGCTGGCGAAATCAAAAGTCAACAATCACAAGCGAGCCAGTCGCACTGTTTGATGTGTGGCCACCAGTTTCAGAATGCAGAAAAGGTGCGGCTCAAAGATACACGGTACCCAGGGTACACAATCACGAGGAGGCGGTGGGTACGGTGACGCAGAACACCCGTCTTCTTCATCGATCTGGTACTATACATAGTAATGCATCGTGGGCAGAACCGAGGGGCTGGGCCTGGTTCCAAGGTTGGACCTGTGTACGTCTCCAGGGCTTATCTGATCACCTGGGGTTCGTTGATACTGCACAAACAGCTGCCAGACTGCCAGCCAGACTGCCCTGACTGGCAGAATACGCTCAATGGCTTACCTAGGTACCTACTGCATTGGGCTGTCCGGGAATTGTTTTGGAGAGCTCCTGAATGCCCCGAAGGTATGACGTTGACAGCTACTTGCCGAAAACGGAAGGCGGACTGCTGGGGAGCTCCGCTGGACCCCTCACATGTGCATCACCATCATAATCCCTACACAAGATGGTGGGGCCTAGACTTCTCTCCGGTTCAATTGGTCCACTCCATGTTCCTTGGCTCGTAGCCTCCAATGACGTCGGGCCGGCGTGGGGTGGCTGGGTGGATGACCGCATTGTTTGGTAGAAGATGGGAAAGTCTACACATAATCCCCAATCTCAAGGAACAACCCATATGCATGCCCCGCGTTCCTGCAGCCAATGTCATGATTGCGTATCAAGTGCGAATCTCGATTGCCACTCCCCCCTCCTACGATGCATGGATGTTGCCTTTCGGACACTGACGGACCATCTACTCCGCTATGACGCTTATCTTGGTGGCGGCGACATACGTTAAGCCACCGTGACCAACGTGATCAGCCACGCGACCACCCAACGATGTTTGGCTGTGCTGTAAACTCTGGTCAGTCCTGTTCAATCACACGATCCGTACGTATCCAATCGTTGCCCTACTAACTTTTGTGGGTTCACGAGGTAACTCAACTCGGCAACCTCTGCGATTGATTGCACAAGCCAATTTTCTGGCGGCTGCCGAGGTGACTAGCTGAAAGGGGGCAACAAGGACAAACAGCTCATTGCTGCTTGTTCAGGTTGGCCACCCCCCCTTTCACATGGCCGCTCGTTGTTGCGTCTGCCCGGGTATCACTCATCCGTAGAACGTCACCTTAGTTTGCATAAGCTATCGGCCCGACACATCGCAGGCTACGTGGTTGTGCAAACAAGTGGCTTTGCCAGTCTCTTTCAAGGCTGCCGGAGCTCTGGAGACCTACGTGGCTTCAGATATCCGATCGCGGTGTGCCTGTCGCCCGCCGGTATTATTCCACTCAAAGACAATCATACCGCCCTGGACTGAGAAAGCTGACTACAGACCACCTGGTATCTTGTAAGACTCGGGTTTGACAAACCCCATCACTCTGCAACTTGGTGTAGTGGAGGGTTTTCGAGGCTCAACGGAGCCCTGGGACGGGTTATCGACGTAGCTGAGAGTGTACGAGCTGCCCAGGTGGGAGAAATGCTACATACTCAACCAGCCCAGAGTATTCGCCCGAGAACGTCAGTATGTAGAAGGAAAGTCACATAGGATTGCCTCCGGTGCCGCTGCTTGTACCCACGACGCCCGTTCTATCACCCGGTGCAGATCTTCTGAGCTGCATGTGGACGAGGTGGCACTGTTGCTTGAAACCTCGAGTGGTATCTCTGCAATGACCTACAGGAATCGGTCAATACCTAGGTAAGTTACCGAGAGGCACGGAGAGATCAAGGCCCTCGATCCACAGGTGAAGGCCAGTATGACCGTTAGCTCGAGGTCCCAAAGATCACAGGTACTTTGGGCCGATGAGTTGAGTGAGTCCAGGCGTCACGAAGTCCCCAGCTGAACCCACAAATCGTGACAAGGACCCTCTGGGGAGCAAGAGAAGCAAAGTATTTCGCTGCGATTCACTGATACCAGTCACCTGGGCAAGTCTGGGGCCGTTCTCGTCGCTCGGGCCCAACCTTGGAAATACTGCCACCATCAAGCTCCGTCGTGCCACATATCATGAGTGTAGGTGGCATTTCCTAGATGTATGGCACACTGAGATGGGCCAGGTTCGAAACCTGAAGAAACAACTTAGCTTGTCCACTGCGACAGAATGGTATGAGTGACTGGTATCAACTCTGGTGGAAACTCTTGGTACTTGGGGCCTACCACATCTTCACCACTTTGTTGTTGTCTGTGCTGGCTAGTGCGAAGTTTGATTGATATCTGCTTCAGCGCCGATGGCCCGACTACCAGCGGGTCTTGGATGTACGTTTCCCGGAAGAATTTGGTGTCGAACGCATCCACTGTCAAATCTAGACCCGCCCATTGCTTGCGGCAATCCTGAAAGAGGGGCCTTGCTCGTATGGTCACTACCAATGGTATGCCGCAGACGACCAACCCCAATATCTCTGGCTGAACGAGCCCGTCCTTGCAGAAGATAGCTTGACGAGAAACCATATCCTACACAATAGTCGAGGGATACAGACATTATTGAAAGTTTAAACGTGAACTTCTCATCTATCTGGCGATCTTCAGGGACGTATGTAGGCTGGTACAACCTCGCGTCTGACTATAGCATCTACCAAGTTCCTAGGCTCATTTGCTGCAAGAGGAAAGGCAAGGTGGAGGCAGGGGGGAAGGCAGGAGGGAAGCAAGAGGGAAGAAGAAAAGGTGGGGGGGGGCAGGGGAGAAAAATCTCCGTTTGTCGCTTAGGCCACCAAAATTGTTTGCTATGCTCCGGTTCTATACATACATCACATGGATTGGAGTTTCTTGAACACGGAAGCATCTTCATGCCCGTCGCCAATGTATTCATTCGCGTTGGCTACATACCTTCCGCCTACTGGTAAATATAAGGTCGGAGTGCCGAGGACCAAAGACTTGGTATAATCGGAAGCAATGCTTAGATACTAGGAAGACGACTGAAGCTGTGGTCATCCACCATCAGGGGTCCTTATGAGAGGTCTGGTGTTGTTCCCGTCAAAAGGCAATTCCAATTTCCAACAAAAGAGAATTCAAGACATCTGGAAACCAAAACCTCAAGCCCCCTACTGCGTTCGTTGTTACCTCAATGGTCGCCAAGCGGACATATCATCCAAGCCAGCATAAAGTCTTCAGGCCTGGAGGCATATCAGGAAATTTCTAGCATCCGCAGAAACCCATACTTGAAACGGGCTCGGACTGGACGAAGCGAACGGTAGTATGACCACAAGGCTGCCGTTTTCAAGACACCGGTGGCTAATAGCACGTATTAGTGCTGATGAGCACAGGAGGCAAAAGAGCAAAGGGTAGGAGAACAAGATCTAGTACATAGGTAAAGTGGAAGGTAGAAGAATAAGAGGTAGGAGCAGAAGGCTGGATTCTATTTGCTTTGAAATTCTTTACGTATTATGCAATAGAACCTCGATACAGGACGGCATTAATAGTCCGGAAGATTCTTGCTGCGACGCTGGATCCAGGAATAGTCAGTCTTCTTCGGGACGCAGCACCTCGTGGGCGCCATCTCTATCGGATCGGTATCTCGAGTCTAAGATTGACCCGGGCCACATATGCACGAGGTGCACATCTGGTATCGCCCCAATCAAGCTGGCAGTAACCATCGACAAACTATGAACTTTTGCTAGATCATAGCCGAGGCCATCCCGAATCCGTCGTGATCCGAACTCACCTGTATTCGAAGCTCCGCTATATTCTTGAGACCGGCGGGCATGCTCGTGAGGGCAAGGGCTTCCCGTGCAGCTTGATTCAGTCTCGGCGCTCCTCATTCCGACGAAGGGTAGATGCAGCTCATGCAAATAGGCCATTGTCACACGAGTGTCGACAGTTGGCGTAGAACTGTGACCATGAGGTAATTGGCAATGATCGACAGGGGCGGGTCTACATGGTGGCTAGGTGGGTCAAAATAAGGTTGAAGGAAGCGGCCCGGCTGCATCCCGCTGCATCTATCGATGTAGTGTACTGTGTAGAGATCCGGGGTAAGCGGACCCATTTGTAATCCTTATAGAAGGCTGCTTACTCAGTTACTCGGTTTAAGAGATCCAGCTGTAACAAACAAATGTCGCCAGAAATTTTAAAGCTACTGGTACGGGTCACGATGTCCTCAATAGCCGTTCAAGCTGACTATGTTGCTGGCCAGCATGCCCAGGTATAAGCTACCTGGGGACGTTGCTATCCGTAACTAGAGCGTCGCAATGGTAGCGCCTAGACTTGCAACTTGAAATTAATGGAGTGTCTCCCTGCAGTTTGCTTGACGTATCGGCCGTCGAAAGAAACTCCAAGGATGGCTGATTGTACATGAATTCCGCTGGTGATAGCCGTTGGTTTCTGTGGTGAGTCCCCAGGTCTGGACCAACAGCAAAAAGGTAAGAGGGCCAATCGACCCAGATAACTCGGTCACCGAGAATCGAACTCGGAGCCCAGGATTGAGAATCCTGAATGTTAACCGTTACACCATGACCGATCTTGAGGGTGATATTAGTACACCTAGCAGGGCAGCATAATCACAAAACCCAGTTGAGGGGGGTGGCGGGTTTCCATGCATATGTGTGGCGGCGTATACCTGTGCACCTCCTTTGCCATTACATGTTCCCGTGTGGCCAATGCCCATCTAGGTATAGCAGTAGTGGGTATAGTAATAGCAGGCATACTATATAGCAATGGGCAATCACCTACATAGGTTGGCACAGTACTGGGTAATTAACTATATAGGTAAGTATATATAGTAGCAATAGCTATCGTGCAATAACAATAGTGGTAGCAGGTATATTAGTTCCAGATGTCTAGTGCGAGGTTACCGACTGGATAACGATTCTTGCCTCAACGAGCATCCTATAAACAGTCTGAAGCTTGCAGCCTTGGAGCTTTGGGTCTTCGGTAACGATTCACGCATACAACCACGGGACTTGCCTGCGAAGCTCCCCTGATTACTTTCTGTTTGCTATATGCGGAGAGGCCTATCATGTGCACCTATTCAACCGAGATTTTAGTTCGTGTGCAGATTCTCTCTCGAAATCTATTTTCTCAATGCAAAGCGTTCGTAAGCTTTGTGGGCTTGTCTTCTGGTTGACTACTATCCAATATTTTCGACCGGTCGGTGACCTTACTGCGTCAGGAACATGGTGGTGTCAATCCTCCACTCCAGCACCGAGCTTCCGACTGGAACACTTCGCGATGCGATTTGAGTACAGCTCACAGCTCGAGGCCGCTAATTATTTGGTACCTGAGTACCGCACCCTCTACTCAGACGTCGAAGAACCCTTCAGACGGACTGGCGCCCACATGGGCTGCCGACAAACTCTTCTCTCTTCCGATCTCTTCAGCGTCCACAAGTATCCCAGCTGGTCATGTTCCCATTCAGGTGCCACTCCGTTAATCTCCCGAGCAGTTCCGGGTCAATGTCGCGATTCGCCTTCATAAAGACAGTCTCATACGGGTGCAGGTTGACCCCGAAGTAATGGCGGTTATACCAAAAGTCATCCGGCCTCCCGCTCTTTATGCAGAACTCGTCGAAAGAGGCTGCCGAGTGCGGCGCCGTCATCACGACGTCGACCTCGAAGCCTTGCGACTGGATAAGGGACGTGATGCCGATCTCGGCGTGGACGGCTTTCTTCATGGTGGTGAAGCAGGGACTGAAGCCCACGGGGTCCTCCGAGCTGCCGTAGAAGTCGTTCTCGGAAACGGACAGGGCTAGCTCTGGGTCGAGGAGGATGGACAAGCCGACGTCGTCGGTCGCCAGGAGCATAGACTGCAGGTGGGTACGGGGAATGCAATTGAGCGTTGTTCCGACGAGCTATAACGGCAAGACTCCATCAGTACCCATGTAACGCCGCCCAGGGTGATGGTGGAGTTTGTTCATCCGAGACTCACCTTGACCTTGTCCGTGATCCGGTCCAGGAACAGGTCCGTCCAGCAATGCGGAGAGTGCACAGGGAAGAAGGGCCCACGGATGCTTGCGTTCATCGTGATGAACCGCTTATACTTCTTCCACAGGCCATCCTCCCTCAAGACCTCCCCCATGGCGCCAATGTCGTAACACTTGTTCTCCCGCCAAATCTTCCGGATATTAGGCGCGTCAGGGATCATATCAGGTGCTGTCGTCTCGCCGTTGAAGATGAACACAAAGTCGGCCCTCCCGTGCAGACCGTTCTTGACGAAATAGTGCAGGTTCGCCCTCGCATTGTCAGACTCGGCATATGTGTACAGTACCAATGGTCGCAAGTCGAGCTCATCACTGGTCGGAGATGATGAGACACTCGCTACCGACGAAAGCCGCGAAAGTACATCACCGGTGCCCCCTAGGTAGGAAGATTCTAGACTCCAGAAAATCCAGACAATAATGAGCAAGCCTATGGCCAAGGTCTTGTTCCATCCTATCAGCGGAATGCATAATGACTTCGCCATATCGTCTTTGTTATGTCGGAGTCCACACCGATGCAGAGCAATAGCACTTGAGTGAGAAGGATACTGGACAGATGTCGTCCGCCCGGAGACATGAAGTTCTGGCAGGACTAGCTGAACCTTTACTATGGATGCGTCATATCAAGGGAGACAGATCTGCCCCATGTGTCACACAGCATGTGTAGGACCCCACGCCACATGTCAGTTGCTTGCCTCCTGAAGCAAAAACGTTCTGAAATCATCTTTCCATATGCGTGTCCCCTCTCCCAACCTCGTCTACTTACTACATGTTCCAGAACATAGAATATGTTCACAAACTGGTTGATCAAAATTTGTGACAAACAGGCAACTCTCTTTATCTGGAAAATATAGCCATCGATCTCGATTAGGATTTGGATCTGGTCGTCCTTAAAGTTATACTGCATGTGTGCAAACACTAGTATTCGAGTCTTCAGACGTCGAAGCCTGCGGGTCTGCCAGTCCCTTGACCCTTTTGTCAAGGCTTCGGCTTGTGACGCGTACAGAAGATGCAAGCTGGAGGAGCAAGGTGGAAGAAGCCCCGGCCTGCTTCTGATCGGGATTCGGCGGCTTGCACAAGAAGTAGCCTGCCCGAACGCCTCCCTTGCTTCGCTCCCAGGTGCAAAGGGTCATGGAGGTCAGCCCGAATCTATGAAAGCAACGGCGGCCCCAGAATCAGCTCGCTTCACGCGAAGGAATCATATGAAGCTGATTTCTCGATAATATGAACACTCGTCATATGGTCCCCACGCCCAGTCGAAGATGACACCTGCACCTGGGTGATAACACTAAAGCATTCCCGCCTAGCGGTGCGCGCCTTGGAGACCAGGAAGAAGGGTTCGCGAACTGCGTTGTGGGTTTCAAACTTACATACCCAGAGTGTTTCTCGCTGAGCAATGATGACACAGGAAACAGGAGACAAGCGCTCAGCTTCCGTCATGTTCTCGCCACCTACTTCGCCGCTGCCCTACTCGATATGCTTTTTACGACAGAGACACATCATCAAGGACTCAACAGAACTAAACACACAATAGTCTTGAAGGGGTCTTCACCGAGAAACGAGCCGGCGCAAGACCAGACTATGAAGCTGTGGATGCGTACCGGTACGACCATGGTACGGAGAGGACAATATGACGCCCGTGACGATGTCAGGGCTCAATACAACGAAGGCTAATCTTTGGTGGCGTGGTGCTTGGTCACTAGCAGAGCCAACGCCAGCGCTCCAACGAAGCCAGTCTGCCCCGGGCTCAACCTCAAGTGGAATACTTTGGGGGGGTCGCCAGTGTCTGGGAAAAGCTTCGGTGACGCTGTTGTGCAAGTGCAGACATGTGCATCTGCGCGGAGACTCGACAGCAGATGCTTGACGAATGGATGGCCATGAGTCGCCGTGAAACATTGGATCGTGATGCCCATCAGGCTCACCTGGGCACATCGCGATGTCCCACTCGTGGGATCTACTGTCGTCGATCGGTCCAGTCTTGCCTAAACTTGTTGCTAGGTTACGGCGTTTGAGGCGGTCGGTCGAGGGGGCCCGAGAGACCCCAATAGTTGTTGGCGGGATGCGCTTCGTGGCTGAGGACGAGTATGTCGGTGATGCTCAATAAGTTACGAGCCGCCAATCCCCCACGGCGATTCAGGGATCAAAACGAAAAACAATGGGAAGAGTCGTAAGTGCCGTCTGCAGTGTCGATCCGTGGAGTCTGGCCCAACTGGTCGTGTTGTTGTTGTCGTGGTCCCGTCATGGTGTGTCCAGGTGTCCTCAGGATAGAAAAGGGTCCTCGAAATTGAGATATGATGTCGTCGTCAGAGCCGGAGCTTGATTTAGGGCGAACGAGTAGTCCGTATAATGTCAGTTTAGTGTAAGGGCCGTCAAGGGAACCATCGACAGCCCTGCAGTGTCTGTGCGAGCGGCTCCCGATAGTGACCAATACTGATCAACCTTGGAATGTATGGGGGGATGTCACGATGGCCGTTCTGCCGTTCAGATTCAACAACGTACCTGAGTAGGTACCTGAACAGGTAGTGTAAGGTACTAGCAGTGTACTAGAGAAGGTAGTAGTGCATGGCGAATGTCACACGATCGCATGACAGCGATACCTTTGGTACATGCACTATGTGGTATATCGGTTTTATGCGGGCTGCATAATCCGACTGCCGTGTGACCAGCCGCCCCCAGATCCATGGTGTCCCTACCTTGATGGCTCCAGTAAGCAATGCGTCATAGGGCTCTGTCTCATAGGAGTGTTAGTAGGTATAATACATTCGATGATAAGAGAAAATCCGGGGTAAAATCCCAGCCAGGAGCCCCAAGCTTTTCGCATGTTTCACCTCTTGACCAGCTCTTTATCCACATTGTTGGGGAACTTGTGTGCTGCCCAGATGGCCTAGACGCTCACCTGACTGCCAAGAGGTCGAGCAAGCCAATAGACATGTAGTATATTTGCCGGATGACCCCGGATATGGTCTCTCGAAGCGGAAAGGGCCGGGATATGATTCCTTCATCCCCATGTCCCCGGAGTTTGAGATGCGGAGATGTGGAGCGGACCAGCGGGAATCTTGCCAGGATGGTCACTAGGGCAAGTCGTCGACCGCAGATGAAATACATAATAGCCCCATCGGATTCGAAAGCCTGTTGTGGGAGTGGTTGCGATGACGAGTTTAGCCCGGATCGCGGATGAACGCTCACCATTATGCTGTTATGTCCAACATTGGACGGACTCCATTGGGACGAACAAAAAAAAAGCAACCACTGCCAAACAAGCGCCTCGTCGTTTCGCGTCTCGCTCGATTGCGCAATTAAGCACAGTGGTAGTACCTACAAGGCCGCGCTGGTGGCCTTGCGGGAAAAAGATGGGTCCAAAATGGGCCGCAGATCTGAATGCCGAAGAGCGCGAGCAAGGTTCGTACATTCCGCGCTGGGCGAGGGGTTGCTCTGGTGCCGTTCAGGTCGGCCGCCCGTCCTCCTTCTCCTATATGGCTCAAGTCCTGTGCTATGTTGTGCCAGTAGCTGGGCAGACCTGGCTTCAAACCTCAATCCCTCTCTTA